AGTGGTTCGTCTGATGCACAGTTTTTGTGGTGGCAAGTATCGTACATTGAATTAAATCCGAGTTCTTACATTAGAGCAACTCGATATCTGTCGAACGGAAAATATTGCTGGTTGCTCTAATGTGAGACCTCTAATTTAAATAAATGTAAAATATTTGCGTCCAACATTATTGCGAATTGCTTATTGCTTGTTGCCTTGGTGTGAGAGGATGTTTGTCTGGTCCAGGTAGAAATAAGTCCCCAATAAAACTAATATCGGCCAAGGCGACGTATTTTTTTGTTCCTGGAGACACCATCTTGCTGAAATTTTTTGCATGATTTGGAAATATTGTGAATTATACCTATTATGTAGGTATTATAATTTCAACTTACTGTGTATTAAAGGCCACAGATATTGCACACCCACTTCTGCCAAAAGATCTTCCATCTTGCGGAAACCACTCCAAAAATAAAAATTCAAAGTAACACCATGCGACGCGTGCCAAACCAACAATAGGAAAGACCGAGCAGTGGCAGTGATGCACACAGTAGCACAGTATTCGGAACTCGAGCATGCGCGTAAATTGCAAAATGTCTACAGAGATCCCAGTTATTTGAATTTTGGTCATGTTTATTTTGTAAAAATTCCAGAGTATTCAATTTAAAGTAGTTGTTATTTCGTTTAAAAAATCTGAATATATTAGATTTGTGGCGTTCGTTCTAAATACATATTTATTTAATAATGCAACTCGTATCATTTTAAGAAGTCAAACAAATAATTTGAAAAAACCAAATACACAGATTTATTTAAACCAAATACATTGTCGTTGGTTTAACTAATGATTATTTGGGTGAAATAAAAAAAAATCAAATAAATATTTATTAGGCAAATTTTTTGCTAATTTTTTCAGTGCGAGTACAATGACACCTCATTTGTCACTTTTTGACATTTCACCTCCAAATTATTCAAATTTTTACTTTTTAATCTAGAGCGCCATGAATAAGTTAAAATGCTTAATTTTGCTCCTAGAAACATGGGAAAATTTGTATTCAGCTTATTTTGAATTTTGTATCCTCTAAAGGCTCATTCAAAGTTAGTAGAGTAAAAATCAAACGAGAAGAAGCCACTGTCGTCAGCGCTGACAAAGAAAGCAGATTTCCTTTTCTCTGGGTCCCTCCCATTTAAAGTGAGACAAACGATAACGCGTGTGGCTTCTTCTCGTTTGATTTCTACTCTAGCAGCGCATTTTTGGAATTATATCAATTTTTTCAAATGGAAAGGGTATGGCTCATTAGCATATTTCGAGAGAGCATTTTCTAACAAACAATTCAGTACCACACAATCGCTAGTTTATTCAAATATTGAACTGAAATTTTCCAAAAATTTAGAATGCTAGAAAAATTCTTAATTTGAGTGATGAACTAGCGATTGTGTGGTACTGAATTGCTCGTTAGAAAACGCTCTTTTGGAACATGCTCATGAGCCATACCCTTTCCATTTGAAAAAACTGATATAATTCTAAAAATGCGCTTCTACTATCTTTAAATGAGTCTGTAGAGGATATAAAATACAAAATAAGATCAAAACAAATTTTCCCATGTTCCTAGGAGCAAAATTAAGCATTTTGACTTATTCATGGTGCTCTAGATTTAAAAGTAAAAATTTAAATAAATTGGTGCTGAAATGTCAAAAAGTGACAAATGAGGTGTCATTGTACTCGTAATGTAGTTTTCTATTAAAATGAGGAAAAATATACCTAGCGTCTCATTTAAAATAAGAAAGTTAGGGTCACTTCCGGTCAAACCGGAAGTGATAGTAAAAAATACGTCAAATAATGCACAACCGGGTCATAAATACACACACAAAATTTCATTTGTCTATCTGGAAAAATAAAAAAGTTATAGGGGTGAGCGGGTTTTGAAAAACACCCGGTATTTATACTATTTTCTCGTAAGTTTCGATGAAGCAAGCACTTGGTTCATTTGATTGAAGTTGAAATCCAAACATTCTATTTGCTGTTGAAGCAAATTTCTTCACGAGAAGCAATAGTTGTTAATATAATAACGATTATTTTTGGGCAAATGAAAATCCCTGAATGATAAGAGAAGGTTATTTTCAGCAACAATATTCGCTGAACGTATGGGCAGGAACCATTGGTGACCATCCAATTAGTGCATATTTTCCACCAGCACGGTTAAATTGGGACTCGTTTTCTATTTTCGGGGTCATCTAAAGTCCCTTGTTTATAAAATAGCTGTGCTAGATGTTAACGTCTCTAGAAATCAAATAATTCAAAGTTGCAATGTCATACGAAACACTGCAGGCCTTTTTGAACGTGTAAGGCAATCAATGATAAAACAACAATTTGAACCGTGTAATTTATCAGAAGGTGGTCGGTCATTTACGACGTCCGATTTAGCCGCAATTTTTTAGTGCTGATGATTTTTCCTTAAAACACCATCAGGAATAACACCCTGAAGTTATTGACCGTACTTAAAAAAAAAAAAAAATGTTTGTAGGTAATTTTTGAACTAGGGATCCATTGATGTGTAACGAAATTGTTTATATTTTAATTTTCGAGAAACCAAGGTTCAGAAAAGATGTGAGATAAAAAATAGTTGTATTTTTCATTTCACTTTCAAAGAGCAGTGGCGCGCAAAATTATTTGCTATAAAAATATTCAAGTTGCCGTCTGAGACGCCACTGGAACAAACAAGTCAAACTTTATCACTTTAATATAAGCCCTGTGTTACAACAATAAACATGTCCAGTTTCAATGAAATCCGCAGACGAGTTTTCAAACTCCAACACTCTGTATATGATATATACAGTGTGTCCACAGTTCGCAGCACATGGGAAACTTTTTTATTATCAATTTTACGAAAAAAAGTTACTCCTTATAAAAGTTTCTGCTTCTTGAAAAAATAATATTAAACTACTAAAACTTGAAATAGCATGTAAAGGGTGGTCAAAAAATAGAAAAATAAACGGGGTGTTTCCTAAGTACGGTTCGTAACTTCAGGATGTGATTCCTTATAATATTTAAAGAAAAAAGTTCCCATAAACATTTGTCCGGAAATGCGTAGTTTCTGAGGGTGTCAAAGTTTTAGAAAAAATCGTTTTTTTAGCTCAAAAATTCCTTTTCCAATTTTTTTTTCAAATTTGACAGGTTTGTTTGTGATAACGGAAGGTATCTTTGGACTGTAATATGACTTGCCTAATCTGAAAAAAATATCGAAGGTTTTGAAAAATAGTGACGTGCCATTTTTTTTTTTACTTTTACCAAAAAACCCTGTATTTTTTTCTATTTTCTGACCACCCTGTACATGCTATTTCAAGTTTTAATAGTTCAATACTATTTTTTCAAGAAGCAGAAACTTTTATAAAGAATAACTTTTTTTCGTAAAATTAGATTTGTTCGGACTTAGTTCAGAATCAGTTCTGAATTGAACTGCGCATGCGCATTTGTTTATTTATGTTCGATATGAACAAATGCGCAAGCGCAGTTCAATTCAGTACTGATTCTGAACTAAGTCCGAACAAACCTATTGATAATGAAAAAGTTTCCCATATGCTGCGAACTTAAGTGGACACACTGTGTAACTAAAATGCCCCGATGGTTCCTAATATTTCTCTACCTACTCCTTGTAAAACTGCTAACTAACTAAACAATAATAAACATTTATATATCTGTTAAATAATTGATAAGATTAAAGCTGTTGCCATTTTTATGAAGAATAATTTAGTTGTAGTATACATGTATTTATTACGCCAATTTGGCATTTGGTTACTTTCAGGGTCGCCCTAAACAGGGTTATCAGAATTTATAATTACGCCATTCTGCAGTCAGCGTCTATTTAGAATCAGGATGGGACTTGAATGCCATTTTCTCTCGATACCACACACAAGCAATATTGGATTGAAAACGTATACAGAAAATATTTTATAATTGAATATAAAACCAATAAGTGCTTTGCAATAAGATAAATTGAACATTGTCTTAATGTATAATTATGTATTCCACCTGCACCCAAACAGTTTATGTCGGCGTCATTTTTTTCTAGAGCAGGTTCAGTACGATCGTTCGGTTAGATGCCCTCTAGGCCGTATAGCGCAAATGAATAATTCAGAGAGGATCTTTTCATCATTTTGCGATTGCTGCATTATTCAGATTCTGATTTGCGGTAGCGACGGGCGCCGGCGCCGGTAACGCTCGCCTTTTGTTTTATTAATATATGGAAGCAATTTCACGGCCAACGCGTCGGCTAATTAAGACCAATTAGAACGCGCAAAAATTGCCAGGGCTCGAGTTTAAGAAATTTATATGCCTATCTATCGGACAGTTTTCTACATTCTTCGGATTTTAATGTTACACTGGGGCACAGTAATGAAAACTAATGCGAGAAATTAATGCACATTCTCTTGCTGTGTACATTGAAATCTACTATAAATGCATTTATTTCAACTGTAGCACTTAACCTGCTGAAAGGTAATTCGGTGTTCCTCGTAGTTTATATTGAAGCAAATGAATGCATATGCACAATGCTCTGATGTTGAAATAAATGGTCTATGGTGGCTATTTCCCAAACTTTATATAGAAACAGTAAAATTCTCCAAGTGTTATATTGACGAATGGTGAGAATCATCAAAGAAATGCAAAATAATAAATATCATCACAATGTAAATAATTCATACAGCATCGTGGGAGTCGGTCAGATATTTACGATATCGATGAAGAAGGTTGTCTCAGTAAGTAGTTTTGGTATCGGTCAATTCTATGCTCATGCAATGATGGCATCAATAATAATACAGCACGGACGGCACCGCGTTCACACACATTTTCAATTATATACGCCCAGTTCCGAAGAATTGAATGCAATCCTAGTTCGCTAAATGGGTCGCGGCCATAACTTAGAGAAGAGTGGACATTCGTGGTGAGAAATATGGAAGGAATATCGTAAATTTTATTGGTTGTCCGAGTTGGATTTTTAAGAGAATTATCAAAAATAACTTTAACTTACCATTACTTGATGCAGATGTAACTCTTGGTTCTTATTTTTCTCTTCTAGTTCAACTTTTCTATTTAGAAGGTCTTCAACTGCAAAAGAATCTGCAAGTGAAGAGGTAGCTTCTTTTTCTGTCAGTTCACTTCCTACAGTTTCTTCTTCGTCTCCACTGAATGTTTCTAGCAATATTTCACTATGTCTTTTCTGAAATAAAAAAAAATTGATAAGATATTGTCACGGATTCCGGGTCAACAGAAACAACATAAACACAAACAATAACAACTTTTATTGGACCAAAATCGCCTTTATAAAAATTCGATATCGTTTGTACAGTCCATTTTTATAGACACCAAGAAATTTTAAATAAATTTAACAGCTACAATAACTACATCCAATTGCCTATTGAATTGAAAATAGCTATACATTAAATAAAAAATTTCTTCGAACAAATAACACTTGGTAATGACAGATTGGTACATTGAAGCAACTAATTCTGAAAGATATATGCATTAATTTTCACTCATATCACACTACAGAAAAAAAATTAATCTAATTCTTCAATTAAAAAAAAAAGAATTGAAAAGCTAATTCATCCATAATTAAAAGAGATAAATTTAAAAAAATTAAAACAGATTGTATTAAAAAATTCATAACCGAATGCTTTTTCAAACAAAATAATTTTAAATACGAATGATAGGTAACCAACAGACAATTGTAACAAACCAATTCTGTTAATAATGAAAATTATCAACAACCAAGGATATATTATGCTTTAATAGCATAATAAAAACACCAAAAATGAATTGATTGAAATTTCTTCTAAAATCATTTGTAGTCTAGGAAAATAGTCGAAAAATACATGTATTGCAAAAAAAAAATTCCTACCCAAATGAACTTTTCAGGGATGATAGGGGGCGGGTGGGTGATCATAAAACCGAAAATATCAAACATTCACCCCTCTAGCGTTTTGCGCTATAGGGGTTGAAAGTGCGCCATTGGCGATTACTTGGTACCTATTGATTTTACAAAAAAATGTTTCAAATAAAAGATGTGCAACATTATTTGATCTACAATGTTTATCTAAAGACGTTTTTGATAAGGGCCGCCTGTGGTCATAAGGGCCGTTTGAAATTTTATAATGAAAATGAAAAATTTTAACCAACGTGAAAAATTTTTCTACAACACATACAACATTTTTGCTTTATGAAGTTTTTACTCACCCCCTGCCGTTTTTCAATAGGAGTAGTTTAAAGTTTATTTATTTTTTCACAAAAAAAATTTCCCTATAAAAGTTTTATAAGATTACATTTCCTACAATTTTTCCCAATCAAATTTTTTTGTAACTCACCCCCATTCAGCGGGGGACACTTCCCCTAGGGAAATTTTAGTTTTTAGGGGTATATATTGATTTTTTTTTCTTTTCTCGCCTTTAGTGCATATAAAAAGGTGCAATTAACATTGTACTGAAAGGATTTTTTTTCCACCGCCTTTTTGTTTTTAGGGGTAGTTCACCTATTTTCAACTTTACAAAAAAAAGTTATAGAGAAAAGTTGCTCAAAATAATAAAATGAACAAGTTTTCTTAATAAATTTTTTTTGTAAAGTTGAAAATAGGCGCACTACCCCTAAAAACAAAAAGGTGGTAAAAAAAAAATCCTTTTAATACAATGTTAATTGCAACTTTTTATATGCACTAAAGGCGAGAAAAGAAAAAAAAATTAATATATACCCCTAAAAACTAAAATTTCCCCGAGGGAAGTGTCCCCCCGCTGAATGGGGGTGAGTTACAAAAAAAGTTGATCAGGAAAAATTGTAGGAAATGTCATCTTATAAAATTTTTATTAGGAAATTTTTTTTGTAAAAAAATAAAAAAACTTAAAACTACCCCTATTGAAAAACGGCAGGGGGTGAGTAAAAACTTCATAAAGCAAAAATGTTGTATGAGTTATAGAAAATTTTTTCACGTTGGTTAAAATTTTTAATTTTTATTATAAAATTTCAAACGGCCCTTATGACCACAGATGGCCCTTATGACCACAGATGGCCCTTAATCAAAAAAGTCTTTAGATAAACATTGTAGATCAAATAATGTTGCACATCTTTTATTTGAAATATTTTTTTGTAAAATCAATAGGTACCAAGTAATCGCCAATGGCGCACTTTCAACCCCTATAGCGCAAAACGCCAGAGGGGTGAATGTTTGATATTTTCGGTTTTATGATCACCCACCCGCCCCCTATCATCCCTGAAAAGTTCATTTGGGTAGGAATTTTTTTTTTTTGAAAATCGACAATTTTCCTAGACTATTGAACACAAAACTAAAAGATAAAGATCCACTAGAATTTAAAGCTAATGTTGTTTATGAACTTCCAGTGGCGTATCTACCGGTGTGCCGTGTGTGCGAAGCACACAGGCCCGGCCCCGAAAGGGGCCCGTGACCTCCACAGCGAAACTGCAAAAAAAAATGTTTGAAGATGATAGACCTAAAATTATTTTTTTGATTTTGATGGTATAATAATGATTAATATATCGGCAATAGTCTATCTATGCGCACAAAAAATACCGGCAGCGGTACCTTTTAATATCATTTATACAGGGCGCTTCACGAAAATCGAAACGGAGGCGTTTAGGGTATTTTAAGGTTGATTTAAAAACAACGCCCTGACACGTAATTTTTGTATTCAAGGGGGAAACTTTTTGACTCGGTATTTCACTAGGCTGCACCTCCTGGGTGGGGTGACTTTCACCCCTTTTTTTTTAGATAGGGAAGATAGGTCGAGTGGTAACTTGTTTTAAAGGTATTTTGATTCTCGTCACAACTGTGTACTTTTTTTGAAAATCGAATGATTAGTTCTCAAGATATTCAATGTCAAAGTTGCCATGGGCTAGATAGGAAACAATCTTCTAGCCCTCTTATTCTCAAATTAACACTTTCCTGACTTTCCTCTCAGACACGTCAATTTTCTTTTTTTGTGTGCTTCCGAAAAAATTAAAATTGACGTGTCCGAAAGGAAAGTCAGGAAAGAGTATTTGAGAATTAGGTACAGGGCCAGAATATTGTTTTTTATTTAGCCCATGGAAACTTTGACAGTGAATATCTTGAGAACTAATCATTAGACTTTCAAAGGAAGTACACAATTATGACGAGACTCAAAATACCTTTAAATCAAGGTATCACTCGACCCATCTTCCCTATCTTAAAAAGGGAGGTGAAAGTCACCCCACCCAGGGGGTGCACCCTAGTAAAACACCGATAAGGTCAAAAAGTTACAAAATTAACGTGTCCGAGCGCTTTTTAAAATCGACCTTGAAATACCCCAAAACTCCTCTGTTTCGACGTTCAACGAAACACCCTGTATAAAGCCTATCTTGAACAGGTAAATAAATTTGGGATTCTGACAGAACGTTCAAATAAAAATACCTGAAAAAAATTTTAGGAATGTTTTTTGAACGACTTTTGGGTTAAAATTTGGGTTAGTTTGGGTTACCCAAAAAAAAAAAAAATCGCCTCCGGCGGGGGCCTATAATGGGCCTGCAGAGATTTTGGCACACAGGCCCGGAGCTGGGTTGATACGCCACTGTGAACTTCCATGTACATACAAATTGTGATAAGCTTACATAAACTTTGCATAGGCCAAACGTCTCAAACTAATAGAAGCATAATGTCAGAACATAGTGACATAAGATTGCCAAACCAGGAACTGATTTTTATCATACCTACTATCAATGAGACAAGATAACAATTTTTCAAGATTTTAGTCCCTATGGGGAAATCACAATAATGAATTTATATGTATTTTCAATATTTTGCTAAAAATAGAAACCTGTGAATAATCCACCATTTTAAATTATCGTCTTCAAACAATTTGTGAATGACAATAAAACCATGTTTATTCGATTTATCTAGTCATTACCGGCTATCGTTTGTATCTTTTCCGCATTGGCTAATAAAGAAAAAACCGAAGCTTTTTAACCAAGTTATATCGGGCGTGAACCCCAATAAAATATTTAGGGTGAGAACTTAACTTCCAAGTCGAAAGGGCATAGACGTAAATTGATATTGAAATACCAGTGACCTTAGAAGGGGCTCCTTAAGCGACATACTCATTAAGAAACTTCTTGAGAAGCAATTTGAGGACTTTATGAAGGGCGCTGAATTTAATCCCATATAAGTCCGTCGTGATTACCAACTTCCGCCTAGTGGCTTAATTACTTAATACAGCTACTGGATTGCTAGCGCTGGCTGAGTACTGATGTAAAAAAAAACCTTTTAGTTTTTATACATCGGGATTTAATTTCTTACAAGTCCAAAAAAGTGGCCTGTAACGAAAAGTGACATTTTTTTTAAAGCCTGTTCACACTACATGCAATCTCGTGCAATGCAATAATTTCTTGCCTGAAGACATGCGCACTTTGTTCTTTTTCAATCAGCTCATGCAATTTCATTGCATTGCATGGAATTAGAACCTGCGCTAATTTTATTGCATGTTGCATGCCATTTTCGTCAAATTTGCTCAATACCACCATTTTAAAAAAAATAAAAATTGAATATTCACCGTAACCTCAAATTTGTGTTTACTTCCTCCACCTGCGGGTTGGTTTGGTTTGGTTTTATGCAAAAATTAATATTAATTTGCAAAATCCCAAAATGTAAACACAATTTAAAAATATAAATCAAATCAGCTGTTATATGTCATTTTTTTTTTGGTTGGCACAACCCGCTATACAAATGACTGCATGCAATTCAATTGCATTCTATGTAAACGGTAGAAGGCATAAAATTGCATGAGCAGCAGATTGCAAGCCATTTTTAAAATTGCATTGCATCTAGTGTAAACACCGTTTTAGACAACCTGAAATATATAATGTCACAGAAATATAGTTTGAGTATCAGTTTTCAGTATCCCTCTAACTAGATGAACGGCAATTAATAAAATCTAAATGGCGTTGAAAATGCAAGGATATACATCATACCCTAAGAGAAAAACTTGGAGGAAAATTATTCAATACAGAGATCACTTACCAAAAGAGCCTGTTCTATGGGCGACTCTGGGCACGAGCTACTACAATCCACGACCGAAACATATTCTTTTCTACCATCGACTATTTCCAACTTTAGCACAGGCGGTTCCAGACCGCATAGGTACACAGTTCCGAAAAACAGCAACTTTGAAATTCTCAGTCTCAGTTGAGCAGTTTCCGGATCGAGGTCACTTGGTGCGAAGAAAGCTTCACGGTCATGGAAAAGTGGCGTGAAACCAGAGAGGGTGGCGTCTTCTGGTAGTCTTACTAGTTCATAGCCTGGAAAGAGAAAATATATAAATAAAAACGTAAATTGCGGCCGGCCGGGGTGGGGCGCTTAGCAAAATCTTGCCAAATCGGTAGGTACCTTGATTGCAGCTTTTGTATTGTATGTAACCACAGATATGGGAGAGTTGTTGGTTAGAATAGAATAAGGGTCCATCCTGCGCAACTGGCCGAATTTGAAGGACCGCCATTTTTATCACTTGTCAAATTAGGTTTTGGAAAAATAGGTCATGAACCACTCATAACTCCAAAAATAAGCAGAAATAACACAAAGAAATCTTTTAAAACACCGTTCTGATGAAAATATCTCAGAAAAAGCAGGAAAAATCGCCAAAAACAACAATCTGTAACCGACCAATAGTAAGGTTATGTTGGGAAAAATTTGTCAGATTGAAGTTGTCAACTCAAAGACTAATGGCGTTTCCGATTGGTGGATTTAATGCGCACTGAGTGTATTCTCATCCTTTTTCATCAACCTGTAGAAAAAAAAGACAGAAATAAAGAAAACTGCACTAGATCTTCTAATCGGATACGGCATAAGTGAAATGTGATAAACATGGTGGCACCCTATGCGTTACCATAAAATCGGATGCGCAGTCGTCTAAGCGCATTCTATTTCCCTCACATATCTCTGTATGTAACATAAAAGTACAGATAGGCTCTTTACACAAAAAACACCCTCCATGTATATATTAGTGGCTGATACAATAAATAAATGAAAATGATGAAGAGAATCTCTCTCTTCGCCAATCATCTGTTATGTATAATTCAAGATGTAAAATATTTCTTGAGAAAAAAAAAGAAAGTTTAGTTTTTAACAATCAGATTTTGCTATGGATCGCACACGAGCGTACTAGGAATAATTTGCAGTGATAGAACAAACTTGTGGTTGAAAGTCTCATTCCTTAAATCATTTCCTCTAACGTCATGTCGATTGCTTTATGCAATACAACGCTTTTGACAGATTGATGGAACAAGTTATGCGAGGACTCACTTGGAAGACGTGTTTAGTATACTTGAATAATATCAAGTGAAAGTCTCAGTTCTTAAATCATTTCGTCCAACGTTTAGTTTATGCAATACAACACTTTTGACAGACTGATGGAACAAGTTCTGCGCTCTAACGTCATGCCAATTGCTTTATGCAATACAACACTTTTGACAGATTGATGGAACAAGTTCTGCGAGGACTCGCTTGGAAGACGTGTTTAGTATACTTGAATAATATCAAGTGATTGAAAAATATTTCGACGAACACCTGTGGACCTTGGAGAAAGTTCTCGCCAAGATTCCAAGTGGTGCCAACGCCAATCTACAATTATTGAATCCAAAGTGTGTCCTATTCCAGGAAAAAGTTAACTTTTTGGACACAGCCACAGCAAATCTCGTATCGAAAACTGACTGACTACAACAAAGTGCAGCAAAGCTCTTATAAGACTAACTCAATATCTACTCTTTGTCCGTGCTTATTTATAGTCGAAATCGTACTCCAGATCCATCTAGAAAAACATGTTTATGGAATATAATAGAAATCCCAGAACAGACATGCTCCCAGACGTGAACATGACCAACGAATTTCCTAGAATCCTGCTCTGATTGTCGAAACGAACGTGCATTCGTTTCGTAACACTGCCTTCCTCCAAAATCAGATCGTTCCGAGTTGACTCTGTCAAGATGCAAAACCTTCTTTTCGACGTCTTTATGGATTCATAATGATTCCATGTAGTCATTTGTCTAACATCTCTATGCCTGTTTAAGCGTAAGGGCAGCGTCTTAGACCACTCGGCCTTCCTGACTTCCCAGATATACCCTCATGTCTGCGTGGCTCTTCTTCTTTTGAACGGACGTCATGGATACTAGAAGAATGTCTACATGTTCCCTGTTGACTGCCATGCTGCCCACTGCCTTTCTTGCGCCTCCGTGAATGGTCGCAGTACTCATAGCACTCGTCCTTATAGGAATCCGACGAGCGGCCGTTTGAGGGATAACTTTGACCTTCTGGATCAGCAGTCGTCGTAATCCACCAATCTTCCTGTTCCTGGTCGTTCTTTCCTACATTTTGAGGATCTATTCCCGGCAATCTCTTCCAGTTGATCACTTCCCAGCTGTTCGGGACTCCGTTTTTGATCCGCATCAAATCGAAAGCTTCTAACAGGAACTCTTTCTCACTGATTAATTCTGAGGCAGTTTGTCTTGATCTGGCATGCTGGGCTAGATATAAGGCATCACAAGGGCTGGGACTCTGTAACGAATAGAGATATTTTCTCTATCTCTATTAACGTCCCCTCTCTATTGATTTCGAGAAGAGCGAAGAAGACAGCAAGTGCTATAGCGATAGGGATAACGATCTCTATCCGTTACAGAGTTCCAGCTCTGCATTGTTAGACAGTCTACCAAAGCGATGTTTGTGGGAAAAATCGCATCGTTGCAAGTTCTCAAGCGAAGGTTGACAGTCAGAAGAAAAGCGAGATCTTGGCTGTACTCTACAGTCACGTTTGAAATGTCATCTTCATTCGGAGCCCTTATACAAGTTACACATTAAAGGCTGAGAGTCATTGGAAGTGTTACTTATACGGGTTCGCAGATAAGTGAGACTACTTTTTCGAACGTTAACGAATTTTATTAAACACAATAACATAAAAATCACACGAAATTTAACACGACTTTACACTCCGAACTACTCCAAATAAAGGCAATTCTCTCCCAAGGGGAACCGGACAAGTACTGCTTCATTTCTCCACGGAATCGCGTCTTGGGTCCTTTCTTAGAAGCACAGAGATCGCATCTCTTGCACCACTCTTCAACATCCCTACGACAGTTGATCCAATAGTACCTATCTCTTACTCGAGCCAAGGTCCTATCGACTCCAAAGTGTCTGCCAGTCCTACTACCGTGTAGTTCTTGAAGCACTCTGTCCACCATGGTCCATGGCACAACGGTCTGATATACTAGGTTTTTTTCTATCTGGACTCTCCCATTTGCGAGTGATCAAGTCATCTCGCAGGCACAACGAGTCCCATTGCAGCCAGTACCCCTTCACCGTTTGACTCAAACTGGAAATTTCTTGCCATCCAGGTCGTTGTCCGTCTTGTAGCCAGCCACGCACCATTTTCAATTCCTTATCCATATTTTGTTGTTCTTCGAAGTCTTCTCTTGTAATGTCCTCATCAGTATTAGCGTCGTTGTCGGAATTCTTAAGCCTTATTTGTTGAACGACTCCAGAATTTTTGGCGGCCTCCTTTTCCTCTTGCCTTTGACAGAATTTGCATGACCTGTCAATACATGGTTTTCGTGATAGGATGTCGGCGTTGGCATGACTCCTTCCTTTGCGATGTTTGATTTGGAAGTCATAACTTTGTAATTTCTCTAACCAACGCGCTATTTGACCCTCCGGATTTTTAAAATTGAGCAGCCATTGCAATGCAGAATGGTCGGTTCTAACTAGGAGGAACTTACGGCCATAGAGAAAGCTGTAGTAATGTTCAATAGATCTTACTACTACCAGAAGCTCCTTTCGGGTGACACAATAATTCTTCTCTGCCTTTCCAATGGACTTACTGAAGTATCCAATTACTACTTCTTCACCGTTTTGAATTTGGGAAAGGGCAGCCCCTATTCCACTTTGCGAAGCGTCGGAGTCTAACATAAATAGACCTTCATCCCTGGGATACGCTAGAACTGGAGCACTAGTCAATTTATTTTTCAGCTCCACCAGAGACCGTTGACATTCAGGTATCCAATCAAAACGAGCGTTCTTTTCAGTTAGTTCCTGTAAAGGCTTCGCAATCTTCCCAAAATCCTTGACAAACCGGCGGTAGTAACTGCAGTCCCAGGAAGCTTCTAACTTCATGTTTATCTTTGGTCTGGGCCAATCTCGCACAGCTTGGACTTTATCTGGATCTGTCTCTATTCCTTTTGATGAGACGACATGGCCGAGGAAGTTTACTTTTTCCTGAAATAGGACACACTTCTTGAGATTTAGTTGCAGATTGGCACTTTGAATCCTGGCAAAAACTTCCTTCAAATTCGACAGGTGTTCGTCGAAATCTTTGCCAATCACCATGATATCATCTAGATATACCATGCACGTTTCCCAAGTCAGTCCTCGCAGAACTAACTCCATCAGTCTTTCAAAAGTGGCAGGTGCATTGCATAATCCAAACGGCATGACGTTAAATTCATATAGGCCGTTTCCTGCAATAAATGCGGTCTTCTCTTTATCCTCTTTATTAAGTTCCACCTGCCAATATCCACTTTTCAAGTCCAGGGTTGAAAACCACTTGGATCCTGATAGGGTGTTAAGGGTATCATCAATCCGGGGTAATGGATAGCTGTTTTTCTTCGTAACGTTATTCAACCTTCTATAATCCCCATAAAACCTGGTAGAACCATCCTTTTTCGTAACTAGTACGATCGGCGATGACCATGGACTATTGAATTCTTCTATGATGTTGTCCTTCAGCATTTCCTTTAGCATGGTGTTAACTTGCTGTTGCTGTGCGAAAGGAAGTCTTCGTGGTGGTTGGCGAATGGGTGTAGCACTTCCTGTGTTGATGCGATGATCTACCAAATTATTTCGTCCAGTAATTTTATCTTGCATAAAAACACCAGCCTCTTTCTGCACAAAGTCAATAGCTTTCTTCTTTTCTTGCTGGCCTAAGTGATTCCAGCTCTTTTCAAACTTCTCCAGAAGCTCTATTGATAAATGTACTTCATTTGACACAGGCTTGTTCTTTGCGCATCTGACTACTCGTATAGCTGGTGTACATCTGCCAATGACGTCTCTTTTCTTCAATGTCACACGGTTTGTTGTTATATTGGCCACTCTCACTGGAAAAACATTATTGGAATTTACTAAGCAATATACCACAAGTGTTCCATTCTGCATGTTTCCTGTTGGTTCCACGATCATGGTGTTCACGCCTTCTAGCTGTTTCTAGCAGTGGTTTATTTCTCAACATCATTACAGAGTCCTTAGAAACCTTGTCGGGGCG